TCGCTTCTGCTCACCGTGTTCATGCTCCATGTTGGCATCACCGCTTTCAGAAAATGCTAAATCAACAGGCCTCAGAACCATGCTTTCATATTCAGAGTCCTCTTTCTCTTTTTGTCCCTTCTCCACCTCTTCCTCCTGCTCTTCTGGATGTCCAAAAGGGTCTTCTGATTCCCTCCCTTCCTCACCGACTCCATCGGGTTTTGCACTTTTGGAATTTGCTTCTAAGGGCACTGAACCACAGCCACGTTGTGGCCCGTCGCTGGTGGCCCAGCTGCCATCCTCAACCTCCCCCCAGCGCCCACGGTCTCCCCCGCGTCGTCGGGAGGGCCGGGGCCACCCCCCGACCCTGCTGCCCACCCGCTCTCCTGCTGCTCTCCACATCCACGCAGCACGCATGGGGCATCTCTCCAGGGAGCTGTACTGGAATTCGGGGCTTGGCTGCCCGGGTTTTCCCTGCCCGGCGCAGCTCGGGGCTTGCCAGCGTCGCCGAGCTCATCAGAAGGGCTGGGGGCGATCGTAGCGTCCGGCAGTCCCTCCTTGGGCAGCTCCTCCTGAAACAACACAATCCAGAGGTTTATCTTCAAGTGAGGCAAATGCAGGAGCTGAGATGCTTCTGCAGGAGGACACAGATATTTTAAACGTTCAAACTTTGCGAGCACAACCATCCCAACAGCAACTGGGGAGATCAGTTTGATTTTGACTCTAAAATGAGTGCAGGTTGAATCCTTACCTGGTGTGAGGCCACCACCACCCCCGCTGCAGATGGCAAGCAGAGTCCCACTGACAGCCAGGGAAAGCTTTTGAACTTTCTACCTACTTTACACCATGAAATGGCTTAAAAATAGGCCAGACTGTGCAGGGGCCATCAGCCAGTGCCCAGAGGTAATGCACGTAGCAGCACCCTCTTATCTCTACTGAGTTTATCTGTCCAAGCAAGCCATACGGACACTACGGACAGCGAGCCCGCACTGCCTCGCAGAACACTTCTGCCTGCTCTACAGCACTAAAAGCAGGTGGTAAAAAACACCAGGATATTTTTTCCTTCGTGCCAAACAGCTGCAGCCTTATGGCAGCTCCCTGGCTGCCAAGAAAACTAATGGGATCCTGGGAGGCATCAGGAACAGTGTGGCCAGCAGGTCGAGGGAGGTTCTCCTTCCCCTCTGCTCTGCCCTGGTGAGGCCCCATCTGCAGTGCTGTGTCCAGTTCTGGGCTCCCCATTCAAGAAAGATGAGGAGCTACTGGAGAGAGTCCAGCGGACAGCTACGAGGATGGTGAGGGGACTGAAGCATCTCTCCTACAAGGAGAGGCTGAGGGAGCTGGGCTTGTTCAGCCTGGAGAAGAGAAGGCTCAGAGGGGACCT